TGAAGGGACATGCATATTTGTGCATTAAAAAGTTATTTTAGCACTTTAAAATTTCCCTATATCCTCAATATAAACATAAATGTGTCTATACATGTTAAATTCCCAATTAAACATATTCAAACCGACCTTTTGCATCTTTGTGATGTCGTTTAATAAATTTATGATCTCTATACTGCATTTTGTGCTCTGACAAGTTTGTGTTAAAATAACACTTTTGAAAGAGTTAACATTATCAACACTCAGAGTTTTAATTAGCAATCTTGTTTAATATCGGCAACACTTTATTAACTATTCAGTTAATGTTTAATTAAAACTATTCAAAACAAAAATCATTTTTTTTGTATTTTAACCAAAAGGAGCCGTTTTAAGATTTTCTATAGTTTTAATGTAACATAGCTAGTACAAAACAAAATAAAGATGAAAATTATGCTTATTTTGTGAATTATTTAAAACTAACGTATGTGTGTATGTATATACAGAGAGAGACAGAGAGAGAGAGAGATAGATAGATAGATAGATAGATAGATAGATAGATAGATAGATAGATAGATAGATAGATAGATAGATAGATAGATGGATGGATGGATGGATGGATGGATGGATGGATGGATGGATGGATGGATGGGTGGGTGGGTGGGTGGGTGGATGGATGGATGGATGGATGGATGGATGGATGGATGGATGGATAGATAGATAGATAGATAGATAGATAGATAGATAGATAGATAGATAGATAGATAGATAGATAGATAGATAGATAGATAGATAGATAGATAGATAGATATGTGATATTCCAGTTTTGCACATCAATTTAATTCACATTTTTGGATGAGAATGAGAATACAGTGGTGGTTGAGGCATAAGGTATATAATTTTCATGTACTGGGCTTTTATTATTCCGCTGCGCTTAAGTGTATCCAAATTTTCATCCTATGGCACCTCTAAAACAAGTCGTTTCACTTAGTAAGCATCTTTGAAATACCTTTTGGGTAGCTTCTTTGATCATGCAAATACACCTCATATCTTTATATAAATAGAAAAATCTAATAGCGTCTCATTATCATGCCCAAAAACTGTCAAGCATAATAACAAAGCATTTCCTTTTGGTGAATTTGTATTTTTTTTTTTGTTTAATACATCATTATCATCATCTCTTAACCATGTCCCAAATTTTAATGTGCAGAAATGATGAGCTCATATAATATGAACTAAAGATTAAATACCTAGATTTCACTATTCACAGTTAAAAAACAAAACATAATCACTTTTTAGTGTCCGTCACTGTCCTTAAGTCTGTTCGTGAAAAGCTATTAGATTCAGATTTCAGCTGTATGATGTACAGTAGATATATGCAGTCATTAACAGCATTGCGTGTCTAATTATTCTATCCGGTAGTGCAGTAAGGGAGGATGTCCTTAGAGTAAATCACTGTTTAAGAAATGCTTTGATTTTTCTTCCCCCCCTCGGTTTCACATCTGACTTCTCCAGATAATTGGACACTTTTTTTATCCATCATGTTTCTGTTGCTTGCTTTCGTCGAGTGGATTTTATGATATGTGAAAGACGCTTGAAATGTGCATAATAGTTATTTATAAGCAATTATAATTCATCCTAATGTTTTGTTCTTGTTGTTTTAATTGTTTTGGTGATGGTCTTCAGCTTTACGTGCTGCAGTGTGAGTTTTCAAGTGTCAAGGTAGTTGTAATTGTGTTTTGTTTGTGTGGTTTCATTAGCAGTGTCCAACAGAGCATGCAGATAGCTATCATGTGCTTGTGGAACAAGAACAACTTGTGAAATTTAGATGAACTCCGACAGCAAGCAACCATCTGTAATTATACCTCTCAACACTGTGTTTCTGTCACAGTCGTTTTCTCCTTCTTTCTTCTTCTTCTTTTATGTATTTTGGCATGCCATCTCCTGCATCTTCCTGTGGTTTTTGGCACCTTTGCTCTGTTCTGAATGAAAAATTCATGTGAGATTTCGTTTCCTGTTTTCATCCATTACCTCAGTATGGGGGTACCACCGGTTCTGACTGAAAGAAAAAACACCTCTAGATTCATCACCTTTACAAAAGAGAGAGCTTATTTGTGCGTCTCACTCTGGGGGACTTGTTTGATAAACTAATTTAGTTCTACATTCGGTCCGTTGCTTTACATACTGAATGAATGATGGAGATTCAGTCACTGCAGCAGGGGAGAGAGCAGTAGCTTCACAGTGATAATACAGATCAACAGCTAAACTGAATGTGAAGTGATGCCAAACCATGAAGATTTTCAGTCTACCAGCACTGAGACAAGGTCAATCAGATAGGAAATGCAAATGATTCGGTTGCTGAAGCCAAAGCTTGATAATGTTGGTTTGATCATAGTGTTGTATGTAAATGTTGTCCATCATTCTGACCACTTAGACCAACGGTCTTAAACTCAAATTGGCGGGGGGCCATATCAGTGACTGACCAATCATAGGAGGGCCGATTTATCATTCACGCACAAAAGAAAAGTTGAAACCTGATGTAATTAATGCACTTAGACATTCTTCCTCAGAGTATCAAAGCTCCATCTTTTTGTTTCTTGTTGTACAATTTGAAAGGGTAATTTAAATCGCTATGAAAATACGCAAATATTAAATATTTAAAAATAAGCATAATAATAATAATAATAAGGTCCCAATCAATTGTTACTTAACCAAAGGTTTAACAGATACTGAATTTTGGGTAGCTTTGTTGACTTTACTGGCAATTATTCTTCTCAATATCATTCTTTTTTTGTAAAACAACAACAAAGAGGGGGGGATATATGTAAATTTTCACACTTTAAAATGTTCAATTCAGCTAGCAGTAAAATTTAACTAATGCACATTTTTTATTCAAATTTGAATATGATATTTGAAAAATTATATTAATGAGAACATTTAAATCAAATATTAGCAAAATGGTCGTATTTATAGTACACCACCAGCATAATGTTTAAGCCACAAAGAGGTGTTTGTACAACAAAATACAGGTGGTATAAAGCTGATTATAATCAAAAGACCCTTGAATATTTGCAAAAATAGAGCTTAAAAGAAAATAGAGCACTTACGGACATAAATTTCAACGTTTTAATCAGCCCCAGAAATAATCTGCATGAGCGTTACTCTCAACTGCACGCTGAGAGAAACTGAAAGTAACCTGAACATATAGTACAGTACTTTAATGGCCTGTTTCAACTGAGTGGAACCAAAAAGCGACCGTACCTTACCACTTTTTGGATACCCTTTGTCTTAAAGTCAAAGGAACCCAATAGCAAGTATAACAAATGATTTATTAGAATCAAACAGAGCACAACAGCAGGTATGATGATAGCTCATGATGACAGGCAAGTGAAGCAAGCAATAGTCGAATATCTCAGTGGAATCAAACAGAGTTCAACAGCAGGTAACAGGTTCAAGGAGCCGTCATCAGAGAAGATATAAGTCCAAAAGCACAAAGCTCACACTGCAACTCACCACCTCGGGGACGGGAGCCTGACAGGACACAGACACAAACGTGAGAACAATGAACTGACAAGGTGAGACAGGAATGCTGGACAGATAAAGGCGCAGTAATGTGCTGCACCTGTGGTGCTCTGATTATGAGCTGAGTGGTGCTACGCAATGGCAAATGCCAGTGAAAAGCGTTCACGTGACCACCCAGCTGATGACATGTAAACACAACTGACAGCCAAACGATACACACACGCACATAGACACATCAAAGGGGAACAGACAGATCCACAATCGTGGCACCCTTTGCAAAGGGTACCTAGCACGACAAAAGGGTACGAAAAGTTGCAGCTGAACACTATTGGTTTACAGAGATACGCCCGTTATAATATATACATATAATAACAAGCCATGATCGACCCGAGCTCACACAAACCTTGTCGTTGTCTTGATGAGCTGCCACAAAGCTAAGAAGAGCAAAATCTGCTGTGTCCTGCTGTTGTTTTACGAGCCCGTCTAAAAGCGCGAGCGATTTCACTTTCTCGAGGGAGCTCACGATTGCGCATCTATATTTGAAATAATGAACTTCTTATGCTGATGATAATACCGAGTGCGTGATTATTGAAGTGCTTCTGACATCTGATCCTTTCAGAAACAGACAATCGTGAGAGTGCAGTTATAATCAAATTCTGTTGATAAAAAGGTTAGTAATGAACATTTATACACAAGTATTTATGTGTATAAAGCATCTGTTTTGTGAGAAGTGCTTCTCATATGAAATGTGAACGACCTGTATGGCTTTACATAGGATGTCTATTCGCATCTTTAGTCTTTTTTTTTTTTGAATACATTTTATTACATTCATAATCTATAAACCGTAATAATAACTCTTGTATAGGAGCCCCATAACATTCTGTCCCGCGATGACACTCGAATACCCTGTCAGAAAAATGTAGTTTTCTAGAAATGACCTTTTCACAGTGTCTGGCATAATGTTGTTTTTTTGTGTTTACATTGATGAATATGGCCATAGTGTAAATGCACAGTGCAGTTACCGTCTTATTTCTGCATTATATCATTATATCAGTGATTTCCTGAAGATAAATATCAAAAAATAATGCAACTGGAATAACTTCAGCAGCTGTGATTGTCGATCTCAAATAAAGTAAGAGATCGCGATGACGTATGATGATGTGTCCAGGTGTTGTAGTGCTGTCCCAATTCTGTTTCAAGGGCTAAGGGCAGGAGTGTCCAAACTCAGTCCTACAGGGCCTGTGTCCTACAGATCTAAGCTCCAACTTGCCTCAATACAGCTGCAAGGATGTTTCTACAAAAGCCTAAAAAGAACTTGATTAGCTAGCCCTGCTGTGTCTGATTGGGGTTAAAACTAAACTTTGCAGGACACCGGTCCTCCACAACCGAGTTTGAGCACCCCTGGCTAAGGGGAAAGGATAGGGGTACACAAATAGAATTTGGATTGGGCCTAAGATCTGTTTTGGTATCGTTTGTAAGTAACATCCTCCTTTCTCTGTTTTCAGGGGTGAAAGCTGTGTTTTCCGGCCACTACCACAGGAATGCAGGAGGATGCCATGATGGACTGGATATGGTGGTGAGCTCAGCAGTTGGTTGTCAGTTAGGAGATGACACTCATGGTGTTCGAGTGGTGGTAGTCACTGAAAACAACATCATCCATCGCTACCATAGTCTTGACCAGTTATCTAAAAGAGGAATGGATGAAGACCTGAAGAAATTGCTGCTTTAAATTTACGCCAGTAATCAAATGGCTGTATCTCCATACTCAACAGAAAAGCGAGACATTATTTGTACATTTAAAACATTCAGGTGTTTTTTTTTTTTATACAAGATTTGCGTTCGGAATACATTAGCAAGCATTAAAATCTCAAACCAGTTTGATCTTTGATACTCGCGTCATCTGTCTCCACACTTTAATCATGCAAATGTCTCTGAGAATTCCTTAAACACTGGAGTTAAATCACCTCATCATAGTAATGGAGTGAGGAGATGCTAGGGTACAATGGTAGTTTAATAGCGCTGAACATTTTGGATGACAGTTTGATGAGTTCACTCCTTGCTCCTCTCTGCTCATTACTCTTTTCCGTCTCGGAGAGGAGGAAAGAGGCAATCTCCATGGCAACGATTGAAAGACGTGGCAGCGGTGACCGGGACATCGAGTCACTTGTTCTGTGGGTGGATCACCAAAAACATAATTGCTGACCTCACCTCACACTTGGACTCAGAAGCGTCGAAAGTAGCTGAAATGTTTGACTGATAATCTTAGGCTGCGTCGATGGAGAAAGTAAGGCCTTTTTTTTGTTTGTTTGAATTCTGCCCGTGACCTCATAACTTTCCTTAGCAGTGTCATGTTAAAATGAAACAAGATGTTTTCCAGTTTTCTCAGGATATAGTCATGTAATATTGATGTGTAATGTCTAATGCTGTGATCATACTAGAAGGGGTTCAAAAGTTTAAAGTTTTGTCATGAATTATGCAGTTGACATTCAGTTTCAGCGGAAAGTTAAATGAAAAGTGATGACATGATTTTGGGAATGTCTTCGAATTTGATTTATGCTGTTTAATGATGGTGCTGCGTGAACATCTGACTATCTGTGCAGAGGAGTTCCTATGATTAGCTTTGCTAATTTACGGTGACATTTTATAATATTCATAACATGAACTGTAATTTATTAATTAACCTTTAAATTCACGATTTGTTCTTTCCATGTTCACTACATAAATTAATGTTAACAAATACAGCTGTACTGTATTTTAAATGACAAGAAAACTAATTAAAATCTATATGTCTAATTAGTTGTCTGTTGCTTTTATTTTCGCTAATGAGCTTTTTATTTAAAGAGGTTTTGAGTATGAACCCAGTGCTCCAGAAAAAGTAAAGTAAACAACACTCTATCCTTCGGTAAGGGTCCGTCTATTAGTCCTATGACAGAACTAACAGCATGGGTGAAGGTTAAATGTGGGTAAGCCTTTTTAGCACATGTGAAAAGAAATATTTTTATTTGTCAAATCTCATTTATAATAATTTAAATTATTTAGATTCATCCGATTCAAGCTGATTACCTTATAGGTTGTGGTTTGGTCTAATTTAGATTGATTACCCTAATAAATCCTAGTACATTTTCAGTTAATGGATCATCATTTACCCAAAGTCGATTAGAGTCAGTATGCTGGCCAGTTACATCTGCTTAGGGACATCCTCACCAGTTCTGATTCTTAGATAGAGGATGTAACTGTAAACTAATTTCCTCTTAGTAATATTAGGCCACCCCATTCTTGCTCGTACATAAAGAAAGTTTGATTCAGCCACTAGATTATTTCATACTAAGTCAGTTATTGTCAGAAGTCAACAGATCTCTAATGATGTGCCTATGCTCCATCCATTGAGCCTGAATGTATGAGCAATTCTGGTTGCAGGCTGCGGAAACATCAGCTTAAACAATCTACTACATTTAAATGATTTCAGGAGATATTAGAGTTAAACACTTATTTTACATTTATTTTGTTAAGCAAAGATTTTGCATTCCAATTCACATGATTAAACAAAATAATCTGATTCAGAATGTACAACATCAATTACTCAAAGACTCATTTAAGAGTTAGAGATTAATACCTGACTGTGTAGAAGTACGTTGCGGTATATTAGCCTTGATGCAGAGCTCAGAAACTCACACAATGCAACAGGGTATCCTGGCTACAGGATCCCACAGACGCTTCTGCACCTTTCCCCTTAATACTCAAATCACCATAAATTCAAGAGAATAAAAGCTTCACCAAAACTCTTGCCTGGTCATGAGTAAATGTGAAGACCATTTTACCTGGAGTGGAGCATCTGGCAAAAATCTTATCAATGTCACAACCCAAATTAACTGATATAAGGGAAATTGTAAAATATTAAAATTTAAAATCATGATTCTCATTTTAGCCAGGATCATCTTAGCCCCAAGCGGCAACCTCCCGCTCTCCCTCAGGGGGCCAATACGGAAGTAACTAAAACTGCAATTCATCTGAAATTCCGCTAGTCCTGGCCGGTCCTGGCGCCAAAATAGAGCAAATTTCAATTGAGCCCACTGTTAGAATGGTCAACTTTACAGCAGAAAAAAAAGGTGTTTACAGCCTGGTACAAAAAAAGATTTTGGTTAATACAGCTAATATTACCCTTCATGACAACTGTGAGGGGGGGTGAATTTTTTTATAACTCATCCGTTTCCTTTAAATTAGGCTATATTAAGTTGGCATAATTAGGGGGTGGCCACTTGAGTGACAGCTAGGTCTTGTTGGTCGCCGTTACGTCACCTCAGCTGAATCCAGCAGATTAGCCACTGATCTCGGCATATACATCGTATTTCTGTGTTGTTTTTTGTGGCTTTACACATTCAACTGCCTTTTAGACTTGTTTCCTAAAATTATCATATGGCATGGCATGCTGAGTGCTCTTAATTGTGCTCATAAACCATTCACGTGGCCTTTGTTTCCCATGTGAGTAAAGATATATACTTATATATACCATCTCTATACATGTATTTGTTTTATTTAAGGTCATTTATCGTTTATATCTATATTTAGAGCTGTAATGCACTCCAGAATCTGTCAGATTGATTAGCTGTAGGCTCTAGAACAGTCATCTAAAGCGTTGTCATACAGTGTTATGCTGGATTTCATCAATAGTCTTACATTAACTAACACAGACTATATCTGAAGTGTTTGGAAGTAATTCGCGTTTTCCTCCTGTTGAAAAACGTCATAAAAACAATGTTTAGTGGCTCAATGTATTACAGCAGTGTTTTAAAAGTCTAAACCAGGGATCACCAATCTCGGCCCTGGAGGGCCGGTGTCCTTGCAGGGTTTAGCTCCAACTTGCCTCAACACACCTGCCTGGGTGTTTCAAGAATACCTATTAAGAGCTTGATTAGCTCATTCAGGTGTGTTTGATTAGGGTTGGAGCTAAAATCTGCTGGACACTGGCCCTCTAGGAACAAGTTTGGTGATTAAACACTTTATTGATATAGTATACAACCAAGCACAAATGGTCAGAATACAAACGAGTCACAGGTGAGAAAGTATTAAGCGTTCTCCCAAAGTAAAGTGTGTCTGAACCAGGTCCAAGCTAAATGCCAGCAGGTGTCTGTAGCTCCACTCACTCTCTCCGCCTCTTTGCCCTTGTTTGGTATTCCGCCGTGGGTGTGATGACGCTCGAACAAAATGGCGACAGTTGACCGCGCCTACTTGTGGCTTCTTTTGCGCTCTTTAGAAACCTATGGGTAACGTCACGGATACTACGTCCATATATTTTACAGTCTATGCTTAGCCCTAATTGAAGTAATGAAAAATATCTTTGTGGATATTTCGATGAGGAGGGGAAGAGTATCTGTCAGAGATGATTTTGTGGAAACTCTGTAGAGCATGATATTATACACAAATAAAAAAGAAGAAAAATCTGCTTGTTTATACTACTTATTAAGCTGAAACAAAACAATTCTTTCTCTTAGCTTAAGTGTTTAATGTTCAATCCACTTAAATTTATTAAGTTAACTTAATTGTGTTTGGACTAAAATAATGAATTGTGTAGAACCCTGGACTTTATTTTAGTGTATTTCAGTGACTAAGTGAAGAATTGCTTTTTTTAAGTATGTTCATTGTTTTTAATGTTTTAGACATTAAATGTTTGTTTTTTTTCAATGTTACAAATGAATGCATTAACAAAATTAATTATTAAGATAGATAGATAGATAGATAGATAGATAGACAGACAGACAGACAGACAGACAGACAGACAGACAGACAGACAGACAGACAGACAGACAGACAGACAGATAGATAGATAGATAGATAGATAGATAGATAGATAGATAGATAGATAGATAGATAGATAGATAGATAGATAGATAGATAGATAGATAGATAGATAGATAGGTAGGTAGGGAGGTAGGTAGGTAGGTAGGAAGGTAGGTAGGTAGGTAGGTAGGTAGGTCGGGCGGTAGTTAAGGTAGGTAGGTAGTTAGATGGATGGATGGATGGATGGATGGATTACCAGCATTTTTTTTTTATCAAACTAGTCAAAACATTCTTAATATTGTACAAAAAAAAAACAGTACCTCACCAACATTTTAGTGTTTCATCCATTAACCAAAACAGGCTTTGTCATTGCTTGCATCTCACTGCACTGACCTGACTCAATGAACCCAGACATAAGATGTCCCCTGTCATGTTACCTTATTTTCTCTCCAGCTCTTTCCTGCAACAGCTGTTGTTTATTGAAAGCATCTTCCTGTGCCTTTTTGTTCTGATCTCGAGCCCAAGGGCAAGTAATCAGCATGTCATTCTAAGATTGCATGCAGTACTCAAGGATGTACAACATAATACGATTTGTCCAGGTCAGTGGCTACACCGTAGTAATGGCCTCTGTTCTTACATTGATAATTTGGGTTTGTCACAGTTAGTCAGCTGTAAAGAGCTGCACAGGTTTTCTGAGGGTTTTTTGTTTTTTGGGATGTAGACCATTGGTCAGTTTGTAGAGCACCGTTTTTCTTGCCCATCCCTAGCACTTCTCGAAAGGACACGTAGCATAGATTGTAAATGAATTCAGTCTTGGAACAGGAGGACATTTGACATTTAGCAGGTTGGTTTTCTTCACACAGCAGAATGAACTCCTACACTGAGTAAATCACAGGGCATCAACAGCCTGACATATAAACCACAGATAATAACCACCTGTCGAATGGCCAAAAACTGCCCTTTTCTTGGCTGCTGTGTGGAAATGTAAACTGTCCTTCATGAAACAGTTCATTCTGGTCTGCGGGACCAATCAGATTTTTAGGAAAAGTTAAATTCATGATTAAATCAATTAATCTGTAAAAAGGCCCCACAAAACATTTTAAAGAGCACTTATTTTACCCCTTTTTCAAGATTTAAAATAAATATTGTGTCTCCAGAATGTGTCTGTAAAGTTTTCTGTTCCCATGTGTCTCTTAGAGTGTGCCTCACACTATATCTACACACAATTCTGTCCAAACAGCTTCCAAAAGAGGATTTTCATCATAGGCGCCCTTTAAGGTTAAAAATGGCAAACTTGGCGATTTAGGAAAAAAATCAGGTTCACACGGGTCATGGAATTTCTGGATTAACTTTAAAAGGTCTCTTCATGACATACTTTTTTTTTTCTCCAAGTCCTTGAATATCCAGAAATGTTTTTGTCACATACAATTTTAGCAAATTTGTTTCTATACCATATCGTGTTTATTATCATGTTGTTTCACAAGTTTTGCCTATTGTTATGGTTAGGCTATTTTTCAGTGCCGTTTTATTCCTTCCATGTTTGTTAACTGGTCGCTTAAGTGAAACACCAAGTCACAGAGCTTTACCGGTTAACTAAGGCCTGGTAATTAAGGCAAATATGTTGGGAAAATGTAATTTTCAAAATTAGTTTAGTTACAAAATGTCCACTTCAAAAACTGCATGCTTTTATTTTTATTCTAGTCTTTTAAAAATTTGAGGTAAATTATTTATTGATGTGCTCATAATTGTTATTAAATTCACAAAAAATTATATTTAAAGGTACAGTAGGTGATTGTCTTCAGAAACATTTTTTGTTGGTTGAAAGTCTCTATACAATCCAATAGTAATGATTAAAGTAAATGATCTAAATGTATTTATATGTATTTTTATATTCGGGGTAA